TTTCAGCAACATAACCTTTGTTGCTGAAAGTTTATTTTCTATTAGCAATCTATACCATGTTGCTAAAACTCATTTGAATTTGAATTTTTTTACTCATCACCGACATGCATTATGTTGCTAAAATTTAAAATAAAAAAAACTCCCGCCACACCTATCAAATGATTAAATTTTAAATGATTAAAATTTTTAGCAACATAGCTCTTGTTGCTGAAAGTAACTTTCAGCAACAAGAGACATGTTGCTGAAAATGGAATCCTTATTTGGGGAGGAAAGTGCGGTGGAGGGTTACCGGAAAATATCAGCAATATAGGGTATGTTGCTGAAAGTGGAGTAGCTTTTGGAGGGGAAAAGTGTACTGCATAGCTTTCAGCAACTAAACCTTTGTCGGTGATATAATTTTTCAGCAAGAAAGGATTCCATGTTGCTGATATTTGTTGCTAAAAATCAAAATTTTAGTAGTGAATGAAAGTTATTTTCTTTGATTTTAATAAGTGAAGGGCTAAAACTTAAGATAAAAGACTAAAAATATTATAATATAAAATAAAAAACTAAAATCTTTAAACTTAATAAAATGAGGGACTCAAAGTAGGTTTTTATTTAATATTATAATATAAGGTAAAAAATTAAAACTTTCAAACTTGATAAAATAAGGGACTCAAAAGTAAGTTTTTATCATGACAAAGGTTGGATCAAGTCTGGCGTTTCTAGCCGTTGGTATATACGGCACCATTTGGCGGCGTTTATAAATGCTGGCATAATGAGCTGGAAATATGTTTGATTTCATTGTTTTTCGAGTCAAATAGTGCCGTTTTACGCTGCAAGCTTAAGTCCTTGCTTTTATTTTTTTATTTACAATTGCACGTTTTGTTTGTTTTTATTTTTTTTCCCCCTTATTGCACTTCTCTATTTGAGTATCATGCCCACAATAGCGAAACGAGCAAACAAGTAGCAAATTAAAGAAACATAATATTCAAAATATATATATTGTAACATTCAAAATATAGAGTATCCAAGTTCAGTGTCAAGTAACAAACAAGTAACAAATTAAGTAGAATCATTTTCAAAATACATATATTGTTTAATTGTGAAAAAATAAAATAAAATTTTACCAAATTGTCTTTGACTTTATCATTTTTGATGTTTTCAACGGGACCATGGCTGGAATACGAACTGGCCACTTGCAACTTTAACTGTAACAAGAAAAATGAAATGGGTTAAACAAATGAATGCGATAAGGAAACGACCAAAATGCATCAAATTAGAATTTGACCCAATCAGATCATTTTGGACTAGAAACGGAGGTTTAGTTCATGGCAATTCTGCGATCAAAAGGCCAGCTGCCACTATTATATCAAGATATGAATCAAAACACAACAAATGAACTGCTGCATGCATCCCCAAACATGTTTTCTTGTTATGAGAAGCAAGATTGAATCTGTCAAAAATAAGAATGAAACAAAATAAATTAAGGGCAAACCCCTCAAATCGCCCCTTAAAAAATATGGGCAGGGACGAATTCACCCCAAAAAAAAACAGGGACATTTAGCCCCCTAAAAGTATCGATTGACCCAAATTGATCATTATTTAACAGATGATGTCATAACCGTCACTATCTCCGTTACCCCGTGCCAACGTGTCATTTTTTTACATGCTGGATGCTGATGTGTACCGATCCCACTCTTTTTCACACACCGTGGCACTCTTTATTTCCTTTTACTTGTCATGGACCCCTCTGATTTTCACCCACGTCAGATTTCTTCTTCCTCTTTCATTTTCTCTCTCCTTTACCTTTCCTTTTCCCTTACCTTTGCAAACCCAAGCTCAGGGTTTTCTCAAACGACGAAGAAGCAAGTGATGATCGTTGTCATCGACGACAAGGAGCATAGTGCCTACACATTGGAGTGGACGCTCGATACCTTTACAAACCCAAGCTCTGGGTTTTCTCAAACGACGGAGAAGCAAGTGATGATCATCACCGTCGACGACAACCAACACAGCGCCTACACGCAGGAGTGGACACTCGATCACTTCTTCGTATCTCTAGTTGATAGTGCCTTGTTTAAGCTCGTCATTGTTCACACCAAACCTTCTGTTACTATCGCCATCGACCTTCTTCTTCTTCTCTCAAACCCAAATCTGGGTTTTTCTTAAACGGAAGCTGCGATTTTGCTACTTCAATTTGGTCCTGCAGAATTGGGGCGCAAATTTCTGTAGCCTTGGAGGAAACTGCCACCTGTTAGTTTCTCACCGCCGGCTATTGGGACTATTGCAAAAAAAAAAAAAAAAAAGCTGACCGCGAAGGCTGAAGAGATTCCCGTCTTCCTAATTTAAAACAGGAGGATGGTAG